TTAGTATATCAAGCTTTGGACCCAAATGGATGAGTTGGGCTTATGATGAGCCTAATAAGCTTAAGAAGGGATGTGTTTAATCATGAAGCAAATAAGGAGGGACTAGGTGAATATTTTACCCATTTATTTGAAACATATTTGATTCCCATTAATTTGGGATGATCTCACGTCTGAAATATATTTCTCTTTGTCCCCAAAAGTTTATATTCTTCATCTCTTCTCTTTAGCTTCGTTTCTCTTCAATAACCAAGTAAAGTAGGAAAATTTAGGAGTTCCAAGTATACATTTGATTCTTCGAGGTAAGAACTATAACCTTCATCCCCTAAGATTTCATTCAACCCACATTTGTAAGTTTTGGTCAAGTTTCACAAAAACAGGTTTAGTGGGGGTTTATGAAATTCTAAGTTTTAGTTCGTTTTATGCGATTTTAGTTTTAAGGAAATGTTGTTGGCCACTTTCTAAGGTTTAAAATGAGCTAACAACTATTAAACTTGTTTTGATTAGTGTAAGAGCAAGGGGAGAGCTTAAAGGCTAAAGAAAAGTTAGTCCTTACGTGATTTTAGCACATTTTTCAATCACATAGCTTCAAGGTAACATGATTCTAACTTGATCATACTGCATGTAGGTCATGTATGTGTATTTAGTATGTCATATAAGAATGCTAGAGTAATTTCACAAAAAGATTCGTTTTTTGTTGTTTGTAAGCATGAAAGATGATAACTTTTGACCTCTAAGACCTCAAATAATACTTTAATAAGCTTTTCTAGTCTTAGAAGAGTGTATGGATGAGATTTAGAAGCATTTTTGTGCCCAAAATAGGGTATTCTGGTATATCGGTATCGATACTAAAATAGCAGCAGTACCAATACTATTCTTCCTGAAAGGCAAAGACCAAGCAAGTTATAAGGGCAGTGTTGGTACCCCTTAAACGAGTATCGATACTCGAGGTCCAGTATTGATACTCATAGGGTTGGTAGTAATATAGAGGCATTTTTGAAAACATCGAATCTAATTTTGGTATCGATACTCACAGGAGTGTCGATACCCAGGTAGAGTATATATACTCCTTATAGGAGTGTCGATACCAAAACATTTTCCAAAACATCAAAGCTATTTTTGGTATTGATACTCATGGTGAGTATCGATTCGATACCCATTATGATTTTTAGGTTTCATTTGCTTTAGAGGTTCGGGCTTGGGTTTTCTGAGTTCCTATGAGCCTCAAGTATTAAATGAAAGTCAAAAAATTAAGTTAACTCAATTCTCACCTAGAAATGAAGCATGATAGGATGAAAACAATTTGCCTGTGTAATGCTCGGGAAACGTTCAGGTCACCCGAGTTATTCTAGCATTATGAAAATTTTCCTTTGTGTGTATGAATATCTGAATTGTATAATGGCACGCATATGATGCATGCAAATTTTGGGTCATATCGGTATAAATGTCGATGCAAGTAATTTGGAAATCATACCTTATGCTCAAATAGGTTCGAAATGTGAGCTTTCGATGATTGATGAATCTCAATCCTCACCCGACCATTGAATAGCTTAGGTAAACTAAGGGCTCTAAGTACCGACGACATAAATTTTGGTCCTTACCCAAAAACTATCACACTTTAGATAGGCTAGTATATTGTCCGAGATGCACATAAATTCCTTTGACCACACTACTTGGCCTATCTCGTGTTGTTATGTACTTATACATGTTAAGACCTAGCACACTGCCATGTTCATGTAATCAATACATGTAGTATTGAATAGTTATTCTCGTGGCATTGAGCTTGTGAGCTCAGCGTATGGAATGTGTTTCTGTGCGTAGATTAGTAGAGGGGATCGTTAAGGAGCCTATCACATCTGTACATTCCATACCAAAAGATTTGCAGAGTATCTTAAGTTTATTTTAGATGGCATGCATCCTATGCGTACCTGGTATAATCGAGTCATAACCCTATTTTGATTTTAAACTTTAATATTGTCTTGTACATACTTTGGAAACTCCTATATCTTGTAAACTCGATTTCGATTCCGCACAACTTATGATGAATGATTTTGATGACATTACATGTTTTAAACAGAAATTTTTTGGGTTGGCCATTCGATTATTCCGTGTGGTATCATTATTCATGGATCTTTGGGTCAGAATGGATTAGGGTATTACATCTCCTATGAGTAAGGTCGTTCATGTGTAGACCTTGGATCCATTAATGCATTGACAAAAAAGAAAACAATGTAAACATACCTAAAATGAAATTGGTAGTTCTACTCATCCTAAGTACTCATAATATACTATCTTGAAGCCATTCTCGACACAGGCCTGAAAATAGACCTAGCAGTACCCCAATTATTCTTATCAGAAATGAAACTACCACCTCTCGAAGGTCGTGACATCTCTAAACTAGACAATGTTACCCTCTAAGTTAACGTTGGTGCCTCACTTTTCACCGTAACGCAATCTCAAATAAAGTGGCCAAGTGAGCCGCAAACATAGCAAGCCGATGACATACTATCGGATGCTTGATACCACAATGCTCGCATCTAGGGTGGATCGTGCTCCTCGTCAGTCCACTAGGGCTTGCCACTTAAGAAGAAGTTAACGGTCTGAGGTATGACCTAATTTATGAGTGTTTGTAGAGGGGGACCTCCAATATCCATGAAAATCCCTAGCCCTCTTGGCTAAAGTGTGATGTGTCCTATCCAGCTTTGATGTTCTTTGATTATGCCCTACGAAGTTGGTCAACACCCTGGTCTCACAACTCGCAGGGGATTGGCTACCAACTGGGTGTGATTGTCAATATTGAGGCAAATCCCTAGCCTCTTGGCTAAAGTGTGATGTGTCCTATCCAGCTTTGATGTTCTTTGATTATGCCCTACGAAGTTGGTCAACACCCTGGTTCTCACAACTCGCAGGGGATTGGCTACCAACTGGGTGTGATTGTCAATATTGAGGCCCTCTCTAAACCTCAACATCTCATATCCTCAATAGCTACCAATTCAAGTGCTATTGGCTCAAGTAGAGAAAGTCCCTCTCATACTCCATCACAAACATGTCGCCCTGAGCCAGCTGAGCGAACTACACATTAAGTCTTTATATAGGCTTCTCCAATATACTTTTGTTGTAAATCGACAGAAAGTACTCTCATGGGAAGCCCCGGCTCCAAGGCTAGCTCTACGGTCCCTACCAATCGATTGCTTTACCCTTTACAAGGTTGTGATGCACTATAAGGTTTCCTCAATGGACAAATAAAGTTGATGAAGAGTACGCATAGTCTCCTCAGCCACTGGTCCATTGTTGGGATTGTTATCCCAGAACCATAGATGTTGGTGTTGTACTGACGAAGCCTCTACCATGACTTATGGTGGTGCAATGGAGGAGCTGGTGGTGCGGGATGCACACACCATGTGCATAAGGGCTTGGGTAAAATTTCTGAATAAGGTCACCTCATCAACCCTCGTGTCTATTGGAAGTTTAACCTCCTATGAGTCTACAAACTCATCACCCAACCATATACTAATGATGTGAATTCAGGATGAGGTGCCAATACTTACCCTTGAGTGTCGATACACCCTTGGTATCGATAACAAAATTGGCTATAGAACTCTGAGATGGCTAGGTAATATCGATACTCCTAGCTAGAGTATTGATACTCTTATACTAGGTATTGTACTACCCCGAATATCGGTACCAAATTTTGCTTCTATTTTTAAAAAAAAATACTACATCGATACTAAGCCCAAACTATCAATACCACATGAACGAGTATCGATACTCCTAGCTCAAAACACCGTTTGTTTTAATCTACACGAAGAAACAATATCAGTATTTCATCTTGTACCGATACTTGAGCATAGAAAAGTCTATTTCCCACTAAAAACACAACCCAAACCAAACCATTTATCCCAATAAAGTTTAAAACGTTATTATAAGTTTATAAAGTTGTAGGGAATCATAAGAGGTAATTTAGCATGCTTTGTTTACATTAAAACATCTAAAGACCATAAATCGACATAAATAAACACACATACTCAATGAACAAAATACAAGTAAGAACACACACATATTTGACCTACATATGGTATAAGAGAGCATAGGTGTGTTACCTTACTCCTAAGTTGCAAAAGAACAAGTTTCTCCTTGTCCTTACCCTTAGAGCTTTCCTACTTCCTTCACTAATCTCAACAGTGAAATGAGTCACCAACTCATATAAAGAATTAAGAATGTTAGAAACACGGTTCCTAATCTATAAAAATGGATTAAAAGTACTAAAGAACCCTAGAACTTAAAGCCCATCTTAAACGCCTAACAATGCTCTCATGGCCAAAACTTGAAAGGAAGGGTTAAATGGAAGCTTCAAAGATGAAGATTTCACTACTTAACTCAAGATTCTCATACTAGGATTATAGCTCACCATGTTTTATCTTAACTAAGCTACAAGAAAGAGGAAGATGGTTTTGAATGGGGAAAAAAAGGATGAGAACAATATATGTAAGAAGCCAACCTCCTTTTTCTCTCTTTCTACCGTATGGACCTTGCAAACATTAAGGATTTTTAGCCTTTGAAATAATTTAGGTTTTAATTACTATCTAGTCCTCAGTTTGTCCAGATAAAAACACCCTTTTTAAGCCTTAATGGGCTCAAGCCCAAACTAAAACAAGTATATCTTAACCCAAAACTTTTAAGTGATCTCTTGGTTGATCTAAAGCTCACTCGGGTTTATCCAAACCTACTAACTCAGAATTCGGGGCGTTTAGTAAAGCAAATCATATGGAGAATTGCATCAAGTCGAGCATCGAGGAGTATCAAGATGATCAGCCCAAGACATTCGAGTGGAGTGACGGAAGTATGGCTAAGTTCGGTGGGGGAGAATGTCATGACCCAACTTTTGGCCTATCAGTAAAATAGGTTTTATGGAAAGTTGAAAGTGTCCATTAAAGAGGTTCAAAGTTGCAAGTGTCCTTTTCTGATATTGTGTTTGTCTACGAGCAGACCTTCCTATCATCGACAAGCTTTAACATTTCTGCATTTTAATTTACCTTATTTCAAATTTGTCATTTGAATCTCTCTTGAGCATATGAAGCCCTATTCATGCAGTTCAAGAAATCGATATTGATTGGATAAGATATTTGAAGTTCTTTTTTACAACATTTCGGGTATAGCAGTTGTATATAATGATAATAGGATGAAGTTTCAAGTTTATTACACAAGTCAATTGTATTGGTAAGAATAAAGATAGAAAACTTTCAGACCCTAGAGGAATACAAAGACAGACAAAAGAAGCTGATGTTTAAGTTTTAAGTTTAAGTGGATTCATGAACTTGTGATTTTGACAATTGTTACTTTGTTTTGGCATTACTTTATAGAAAAAATAACCCTTTATTTTATGCAATATATGTTTCATCAGTAAGTTCTACTGCTCTCCTATTGCTCTCTCTCTCACACACACACATTGACACTATTTTTTTGTTTGTTTATATATAGCAAGGCAAATGACTACTTGACTGTATGTTACCCAAACATTTTAATTCTCTTTAAAATATTTCATATCATATTTGGCAGGTATGAAAATTTCCAATTGTATGAAAAGTTGAGCATCTATCCAAAATATAGATTAAAATATATTTGGGAGTCAGAACCTAAATATTGATTAACATGAGTTAAATAGTTTAGGGATTAAAATGAATAAATTGATAACATAATGGACTAAAACTATTTTTTTTGAGCCGGTGACCAAACTCAGAGTTTGAAAACATTTATGAAGTCAGTCATGAGAAATAAAACAAATTTGAACTTCTTCTCTCAGAGCCAAATCCACTGGTGAGGGTAGTTGCCCATTTCCTTCTCTTATCAATTTAACACGCTTTTAGTTTATATCTATAAAGAAAATTATTCTCTATTCATATCGTTTACTTATTCTCTCTTCATATCGTTTACTCCTCTTTTCTTCATTTCATTGCTTAGTTTCCAATTTTTATTTATTTTTAATTCTTTGTTTCTCCATTTGGTTCCTCAAAAGCAAAGTTTCTTCTATCTTTCTTTCTCAATTTGAAAACTGAAGCTTGCTATATCTCAAATCTTGGATCTTTAAAAAGAAGGTCTTTCTTCTTTTTTTGCTCAAAAAGATTATATTTTGATTCTTTTTATGTATTTGGTTTAAATTCAAACACCCATCTCAGCAAAAAAAGAAAAAAAGAATTTTGGTTTATTCATGGGAAATTGTTATGGGGATCCATCATCAACAGCTTGAAGAAAGAGTAGAGAGGGAAAAAGGAGAAAAATCCATTTTCTATAGATTATGGTCAATGCCGACAAGGCAAGTAGGCCATAAACTCACCGTTTGACGGATCGTTGCTAGAGGTCATTATACTGAGAGAGCTGCCACCAAGACCATTATTCAAGTTGTTCTGGTATTTTCTTTCTTTCTTCATTTGGTTATGGGGACATTGTTGGATTTCTTTGTGGCCTAAACTAATGGAATTGATTAGCATAGGTTCCGAGTTTTGCTGAGATACATTTTGTGTTTCTTTTTACATTTTTGCGTGATCTTGAACTTTTCCCTCTTATATATGTACAAGTTCAGGTTTCCAAATGGCTTGTAAAACTAGTTTCTTGAAGTGATTAAACCAAAATGGTGCCCAAAACTTTGGATTCCAAGGGCTTGCTTTAATCTAAGTTGTACAGTATAGCCTTAAACACGTCTATCCTGAGCAAGCATTCAGTCATTGGTGGGTTTACCAATATTTAGATGTTTCTTAGAATCATATAGAATGCCTTGCAAATTACAATATTTCTTTGCACAAATGTTGTTAAAGAAAAACTCGTTTCACTGTGCCTTTAATTATGATCTTAAGCTAGTATTAGTGCAGTTTTGCTGTTACAGATGTGCCTTAAACATGGGGTGATGCATAGAGAGCTCAAACCCGAGAACTTCTTTGCGCCACAAACATTTGGAGCCTTCTTTGTATTTTGCAACCAGGGATGATCAAAATATAATAGGTAAGAAACGATTCGGTTTAGGATTCATATATTAATGGAAACACGATTTTGCTTAGAAACTTTATCGGATGCTAATAGAACTTTTGCGAACAAAAAAGATTTGTTATTAGAACTAAAACTTACCTAGTACTTCCTGAGCTGTAAGTTGGTGCTTAGGGTCAGGATTTAGCATCTTCCTGAGATGCCTTGTCAAACAAACAGTGATGTCATTAGCACCGTCATTCATGATGTCAACACAGACAAGGTTAGAGAGATTTCTTTTCGACTTCTTCCTGTTATATCATCGCATCTCTCCGGAATCCGTGATGTTATAACCGGAATAAATCAAAAATAAACCATTATGATTCTAAACCTTCATTAATTTTTTCCTGAACCCGAGAAATGTAATTTGATTTCCATGCATATGAAATCATGCTGAATCTACTGCAAGATGGGAGGCAGGATGGGAGGATAAATAAGTTTAGGCCAGTACGGATTGGAGAAAAGCATGGAGGCAATATTCACGAGAGAGGTTTAACAGTCTCAGCCTGAAATTAAGGATGGATCATTACAATGAACAGTGAGGCTAGATGACCCAACAACATTGACAAAGTTGTATTAACGAAAATGCCTGTTGATTTCATAATTTTTTGAGCTGATATTTATTTATTTGTGTGGAAGAAAAAAGTTACTTAGTGTTTACTAGACATGCACAAAGTCGGATAAAAAATCGATCCGGATCGGATAAAAACCAATCCGGTTTTTTCACTTAGCCAAAAAACCGGATTTTAAAAAAACCGGTTCGGATCCTAATCGGTTTGGAGGGCCGGATGGTGTAACCGGTTTCGGTTTGAAAAAAACAAGATTTTTAAAAAACCAGATATAGAAAAACCGGTAATTGTAGCCATGATGAACAAAAAATTACAAAAATAAGATTTGAGAGATTTTCAGGTGTTGTGTAATAAGATTTGAGAAAGTTGTAATCAACCAAATACATCCCCAACCTATTTATACATGTTTAGGGTGGTAAAATTGTGAATTTTTTAGAAAAATAGGTCAAAAAACGGTCACAAACCCCCCCCAACGACTATATTAACGGCTAGCTTTTAAAACCCTAGACCGTTTTTTTCCGGATAAAAACTGGGTTTTTTCAAACCGGTTTTTAATCCGGTAAAAAAACTGATCGTCCAATTTTTTCCCAAACCGGTTATACCATCCGGTTTTTAAATATCGATCCGGTTTAAAAAAACTGGTTTTTCCCAAATCCAGTTTCGGATATTTTTTACGCAAAATCGGATATTCGAATTTTTTGTACACCTCTAGTGTTTACTAGGATTGATCCATGCCAAGGGGTATATTGGAAATTTCCATTTAATTGGTCAGTTCGACCACCGAATTAACCGAATGAATAGCCCTAGTGTTGGATATAGATATATGCCTTTGATGGTTGCATTCAAAATTGTGTTTATTTGGAAGATTTCTTAACATGTATATTTCATACTAATATTTCTGGAACCACTGCGCCAAGGGCTGCATGGATAATCTTGAAAATGCATTACATAGATTGCATAGGATCATTTAATAATTCAAAGTAAGGTAAATTACACAATTGATCACTAATGTTCGAGTTTTTTGCTTGTCCCACTAAAGTTTTAAAACTAATGAATTGATCACTAATGTTATTAATTTATAACAAATCAATCACTAGATGTTAACTATCGTTAATGAGATGGCATAATGCTGACATGTCATGTTTTTTCTTTTTCGACATCATTTAACCACGTGAAATAGCCTTTTCAATCAACCCTTCTCTTCAATCTTCACTCTCCATACTTCAGGCTTCTTTTCACATCAAGGAAGACGAAAATGTTGTCTTGCAAGGTTAACGTGTGTGACTGAACCAGCACCAAAGTTGATATCCCGATCCCTGGGCATGGAAAATGAGCCACTATGAAACTCTACCTATCCACAACTTTGGTATACAACTCAACACGTAAGAACTCTCTATTTGACTTAGAAATTCTCAATTTCACACCCTCTTAATTTAGGGTTTAAGGACCAAAATGAAACTCTCTTAAATAGTGATTTGAACACTTCAATGAAAAAAGCTTAAGATGGCTACTAAAGAATTTGATTTTGAAATTAAAATCATTTTATTTTTTGACATAATTAATGACTATTATAAATAGGGTGAAGAACGCAAATGATCCCTTGACTAGAAGGTATCGTTTTATTAAGTTTATCGACTATTAAAAGTTATAAAATGGTCTTCGATTATGGATTGTTGCTTTGTTGAGTCTCTCGACTATTAAAAGTTATAAAATGGTCATCCGACTATTTATTATGTTCCAAACTCATCATTTTCTGTTAAAAAATTGGCTGTTGTTTAAGCTGAATTTTAACATGATGACTGAGATATAATAGTCCGATTTTGAGATCTAATTTGGTAATATCACATTCAACAAGTTACGTTCAACTTAGAATTTCGTCAATTTTTAACGGAAAATGACAAGTTTGGAACATAATGAATAGTTGGGTGACCATTTTGTAACTTTTAATAGTCGAGGGATTCAACAAAGCAACACTCCATAGTCGAATGACAATTCTGTAACTTTTAATAATCGAGTCATTTAATAAAGCAATATCCTATAATCGAAATACTATTTGCGTTCTTTACCCTTATAAATATTATTCTATAAAATTAGTGGTACATATCAAACATATCTAGATAAAAAATTTCTCCGAATATATAATAATTCATTCTAATATAATCTTATTTGTATACCAAAAAGGTGGATTAATTTTTTTCTCTGACGGCAATAGCAGCAATGATTGTGTCCAGTTTAATGACAGAACATTTGTAGTAAAATGTGGGACACAACCATATCCTATATCAATGAATTAGCATGTACAATTATCAGTACCATTTATTGCAGATCCCATGTGAATGAACATATAGTTAGGTCTCTTCTTTGTCCTAAAGATTTTATTTCTCACCATTGAGGAATCTATCAAAACACTATCTCTCACACATTACTTAACTCTGTTACATTATCTGAAGCCGCATTGGCGACATCTGGATGCTTTTCC